CGCGGGCCTTAGAACTATCAGATCCAGACTGAGTTACTTGCGCGTGAATTAGTTTTGAAATGATAGTAGACTTTCGCCGCACCTTCCTCACCTGGTTTCTGGTGTCAAGACAGAGTCAAGAAGCCTGAAGGCATGATGGGCGCAGGTGGCTAGCGTGGCCGATGCCCGCCCCTATGCGTGCCGCCACGCCCCCTGCCTTCCATGTGCGGCATTCGTTGTAAAAGTGCAATCCAATTAATGCATACCATACCCCTGATGAGGTCTCATGTTGGTTCATCACGCAAAATGCACATCGGCCCATTTTGGCCGCAAACGGTCACATACATTTCAGACTATTATCTCTAACTGAGCTTCTGCCAGGCACGTGCGCGGCCTGTGATTCTAGTCGTGAAATGATAACAGCTTCACCTCCTTAAAATGCAAGAAAATAAAAGAACAATAGACATTTTTGTTGTTCCTTTTTTTCTAAATTACTCGTACTTGTGACGTATGCTGTGGCCTATGCTTCCTCTCTGCGATGGGCTCCTGCATCAAGCACGCTCAGCAGCAGGCCATCTGATCTTGCATATACGCCTCCTCTTCCCCCCCCCACAAGAGCGACAGTTTTCCTCCATAAAATCCCTCAAATGGCATTAAAACCTCTAAAATTTCCGAGCAATTTCTAAGGAGTCTTTTCACTGTCTACTCTTTTTACCCAGTTCCATTTACTGGCGTCGTCACTGCTTTGCAATGTTCTGCTGAACTAGTGCATTTCATAGCTGTTCTGCACCAATAGGGAGATTAAAGGCATTCGTCTAAATTTCCCTTATTAAACCTGATCTTATCTGAAATAACAGTTTAGATCTCTCAGTAGCTTACTTGCATTACAACCGTGGGGTAAATTTTCGCGTTCGAATACACATAATAGAGGAAAAAAATTTTCGGCCGCATACGTACATTGAACGGATCGATGGAAATCCACTGACTGTCAGTCTAGTAGTCTATGCTTGCTCAGCAGCGGCTCAGCAGCGATTGCCAGAATACGAGAACCATGAGCTAGAGTGTTCATTCTCTGAATATTGGCAGACAAGACAACTACCCAAAACGTCAGACGTACGATAAACCTCCCCCAGTGAATGCCCCATTTTCTTATGATTCTCCACATGGAAATCGAATTAACAGCATTATTACTGTGCCGGCTATTGAGGCCTGAAGGGCATCTTGTGGCACCTGAGAGAACGAGAACGTAGAACTTTTGAAGAAGAGATTACCTTAGTTGTCCACTAGGACCTTTAACGGAGATCCCTGATGACATATGGCTATGAAAAAACTATGCAGTTGTCAATAGTCATTGTTCGTGAAATTCTACAACCACCTGCGCCGACTGCATATTCCTTAAAAATCGGTAAACCACCTTCAATCTTTCCGCCTTCCCCTATAAAAAAGGTGGAGTAGAAAGATTCTTATCTGCAAATTACAAAGGTCAGGAAACAAGATAACTTTTATTTCCCATCACAATTAGGTCCATCCGCTGTTTGTTTGGCAACTCCCAGTTCTATAGCCTATTGGTAACGAATAGCAAGCAGTGCGGTTAAGCAAAGCCGTCAAATCTGCCTTTTGTCTGTCAAACACGCTCCCTTGTTGGAGAAACATTATAAAAAGACTTACATTTACAACTTTTGCTTCACATCTGTTTGCATGACTGTTACAGATGCATTTCCCACCGACCTTGATATTCCGAATGGAGTAGTAGTACTAAGGTGTGAGAAAACGAATATATTAGAATAATTTCATTGTCCGGGAGGAAAAAGTGATAAGAAAATAAACAGTAGATAATAAAACAAACAAATTGTACCAATGCAAGCTTTCTCGTGATTGTTCATAACACATCCAATAATACAAAATAGAAAACAAACTACTTCGTCGCCATTATGAAATTATAAGTAGATAATGCTTTTTTTTAAATTCTAATAGTTCTTAATTCATAATGGTAATGTAAATCAATTCAGGGCTGTAAAACTACCCGATTGTAAACAGATTCGTCCATTTGATTAGGCAGAGTCATCCAGTCTCCTGACAGCGTTTGCAACTTCTGGAATTTGAGACGTACAAATCGGGCCGACAGAAAGTCCTGAAAGGCAATTTTAGCACATATTATTCGTCTACTTTACTTCGAAGTACAAACACAGCCAATATGAAAAACTGTGTGCAAGCTTAAGCGCGTTTTTTAACTGTAATGTTTCATCAATAATCCGGGCTGAATTTCTTGGAAATGTCATTATTTGGTCGATTACGTTCAGAACAAACACTTATTAACTCAAAACCTTACAATTAACTCCGGGTCAATCGGAGTGGTCATTTCAGAATATGATTGAGATGCGCCTTCGCGATCCATTGTAAGCGTCACGATTATTTCGCCAGCTTCCAGGTTCTGTGGTTGACTGAAGTACGTTGTACAGTACACCTTCATAGAAGAAAGGAAGAAGTTATACAAGATGCGAAACGGAACAAAAAAATAAATGACCAGCTGCAGCCTCTGTGTTCATTTGGTCCTTTGAACACATAATAAATACACTAAAACAGGCAAAAAGCACTGACCTCATCGTTTCGCAGGCTTTTTGGGCGTGGGTCACTTGTTATTTTCATGTCATAATCGATCAGTGGTTGATAAAGCTTGCGGCAGGCTTCGACTGTTTCGGCGAAAAACACCCAAGGTTCGAAGGTCTTCCCATCAATCGATTTTTCAAGAATCCAGTTAGCTGGACGCGGGGAGTCACCCATACGCAAAATAACGAAGACGATTTGATAGACCTGGAAAATGAATAGCAAACAGTTTATAAGATATACATGCACACACTATAGTTTAATTCAAAACATAAAATGCATTCACTGATCAGTTTACCTGATTAAGATCGATATCGATAGTCACGGCATGATATCTAAGACCTTCTGCCAGGGTTGGACTTTGCCACCAACGGTCCGAGTCCCCCTGAATCACGTAACTAATTGGATGTCGTAGGCTTGGATCTCTGTCATCGCAGTAATTGCATTCGATGACACTGCCATCAACATCCTTATAGGTTCTGGCGGACTGGGTATAGGTGTACACTTGCCGCTTCGATCTCGAAAGTCTAATATAGGATCGATTAGAATATCATATAAATAATAAGGCAGAGCAGGGAGCATTCCGCGGATAATATGAGTTTTTTTGCTTTTCGGTTAAAGAAAATGCAAGCACGTTTTAAAATAAGATAAGAATTTTCTGCTCAATAAACTGAACAACCATATCTTTCGTCATGAGGATATAGGGTGCGATTGATTTACAAAACGCAGTTTCAACCAAATCGGGAGAGTAAGTGTGAAAGGGATTCAGAGCTGATTTGTAGTGCATTATTTACACGGTATTCGAATAACGAGGTTTAAAAAACTACATAATAATACAAGCTACTTCGGATAAAACGCAAAATGAAGTTTCTAAAGAATGTAAGGTCTTATTTCTTGGTAGATGAAAGCATTTGGTCCTTAATCATACTAAAAGTGAAGCGATATATGTAGGACAAATAAAATAAAATAAACGTAAATTAGTGTTCGGTACTGTCTGATTCGCCTTACGACTACGGCCGAAAGAAAACTAAATTAAAGGACTACTTTGTTACACAGGAAAGTAAAATAAATATCTGAGAACATACAGAATTTATTTTACTTTTATTTGGAAAAGGTATAGCGAAAAATCCAGGGTATCACGAAAGAAAACACTATTTGTTATAACTTAGTAAACAGGACATTTAAGTGCAAAATAAACATGGAAAAAATTACATGCAGATAAATTTAGGTCGAATACCTTCTTTTTTGTTGTAAATAGTCAAAGATATTTGCCTGTCAATATAGTAAAGTAGAAAAAAATGCAGACTGCGCACATACACGGATTTTTCGAGACAATATCACTTATTTTTTATGAAGTTACTGCATCTTTACAAAGAGTTCTCCGATATCTCCATGCATATTGCATGTATTCATAGATGTGAATACATGAATTCATGTACATAGAACGTATTTGCACATAATTTCAACATTATTTCACATCATTTATTATGTAAAAACAAATGAATAAATAATTTTAACAGAAATACCCAGAATAATAAGCTGCGTGGTCCACGATCCGACAATAGTATTCCCGCTTGTCTATTCCACACGTCGCGTTGGCTGTGATGTGCGCATTTTCAGCCAACAACGAGTCGGGGTCCATATCCAAATAATCCAGATCAGCATCATAGTCTGAAGAATTATTTATTATAAGCTACCTACCACTTTGCAAGATAGAAGCATTTAGAACGTTCAAAAGTACGAAAAAAGTCAAGACCTTTAAGGAGCGCATTATCGCGCTACGGTAAGTCGACTTTGAAAAGTTACTGACCTACAATTGTAGGTGACAATTAAAACAAACTAGCAAAAGGCAGTGAGTCGTGAATACCCACCGCTTGCAAAATACAGAATGGTCGCTGTTTTGAAATAAAACGTTAGGACTGTCAAAGTTATGATTAGTCTATAACCATAACGCAGAAATCTTTGAGAATATACTTATCAGCTTAAATGCAGCCACGCTAATGGGGAACGAAGAAAGTAAAACCAAGCAGTATGGTGGCAATAATAGTAATGGTAGATTGTTAGACTGGCAGGGGACAAACAGAGGTCTGTACAATTCGTTAATTGTTTGCTGTAGTGGAATTGCAGCAATTAGCTCTGGCCTAAATGATTTCGCAGGCGTAATGTTTAGTAATTCGACCGTGACTATGTACTGTGAAAACTGTGCGTTCTCTATTTTGGGAGTTGAAAACGAGCGTAGGATGTGGCGATACATTTTGGCAAGCGTATGGAGCAGTTGCAAAATGACTGGGATCTTGCGCGAAGACGTACTTAAATTAATTGGAATGAATGTTTGCTTTCACTTGGTCGGCGGTCGCTAGTTTTCTGTCTGCAGATCTTAGGTCATGGATCAGTTCCTGAGTTCTTTTTGCCCTTCGTATATAACCATATATTATCTTGGGGTGTTCAAAAGGATTTTGTAGAATGTTCAGCTCGTATTGCTTTCGTAAGACTTACAAAAATTCTACGTCGCTGCTTATATTTCTGCTAGCGTTTATCGGAACTGGTTAGATTGTAACGCCTTCAATAAATGGTTTCTTCTTTGGAAACGGCCCACAAGTGTGAGTTTTTCCACCTTAGCCGATTTTCAGTTGTCTTTGGTGTGAGAAGACAATTGTGGTGAACAGTTCTTTTCCGTGTTGAGCTAAAGGTTCTCCACACG